CATGGCAAAGGGCAGCGCCTGTGGCACACAGCTTTTGAAGGTAAATGCAGAGCCGGTTGGTGCGGTGCGCACTGGCTGTCTCTCAGGGAGTTTCGCTCTTGCAGTCCAGACTTTGCTCTATCTCGTTGTTTTATCTCCTCCAGATAGTGCTTCAGCTCCCCAGTGCTTCGTTTTGCTTCCTCCACTTGTGCTCCAGGTTCAGTAGCTTGTGCTAGGCTTGACTCTTCTAGCAGCTCCTGGTGTCCGGTGTGAAGCTTTCCTTGCAGAAGGACTCTTGTTGCTTCGTGCATGTGCCTTCCAAGTGTATATCCGTGCCATGGAGCTCGCTCCAAAAGGGTTGCTAAGCATCCTGAGGCAGTGTGGCTTTTCTGGCAAAGGTAGCTCCTGGATTCATCTTGAAATTGTAGGGCGAGGTGGGGAAAGGCAGAAGCTTTGAAAGCCTGGCCTTGCTTTGGGACAGGCTCTAAAGGATTCCTGTGCCCACACTTCTTCTTGATAGCCCCCATTGCACGTCTGGGGTGAAATGCGGGGAAGTCCCTGGCTGTGTTTGCAGGGGCTGGGGAGCCGGCACACGCGGATGCTCAGTGCCTGCGCGGGTCTGCGGCAGCCCGGAGCGCTGCATCGGGGGAACGTGAAATGCTTCGTTCATCAGAAAGAGACACTCATCTGCTTCTGGGTGTTTAACTGTCAGCGTGAACTGCTGATCAGTGGTGGTGGCATTGGGAGCCACTCGACTTTGTCTTGAGCACATCGTGCTTGGGCCAAGGCAGGTTTGAAACCCTGAGAAAGGAACCGTTCGGCTTATTTTATTTCTTCAACTCTGGTAAGCAGTGATGAAAATAAATTTTGATTTGGGAGCTGAGGAGGCTCTTCTTTCTTTTTCGCTGCCAGGAACTAAACTTAAAACAGCTGATAGAATTATTCACATTTCCCTGTTCCTCCCGGAGGGAAAATGTGACCGTCAAATCACTTGGAGAAACTGTGCGATCATGAGATTGAGCTCGTGCTTATCACTTTCCATACACCCTGCTTTATGACACACAAACTACATGGTGAAGGCTTTTTCCCTCTTTGCCTTCCCTTTTTTCTTTCCACCTGGACAGTTAGTAAGAATGGGCAATGGAAACCCCGGCTGGAAGGGAATAGTTTCTATGAACAGAGAAAATAAACGGCAGAAACAGTTTTCTGGTCTGTATCAGGAATGGGCTGTCAGTTTAACAGCAAGCAGGACTCTCTCCAACCTCTCTGTTCATGCTGGACTTCAAGCTTGAAAACAGAGACTAATTTAAGTTAGGAGAGACATATGGGGGTCTTTGTCAAGCCCCTGCTCAAAATTGGACCAAACCTGGAATTGGAGCCAACTTTGCAGTTGGGTCGAGCTTCTCAGGGATGTATCCAGCTGAAATGATGGTATTTCCAAGGATGGAGAACTGGGTCCTTGCTGGAGTGTTTGACCACCCTCGAGGTGAAGAATTAACTTTTTTCTTGCGTCGAATTGGATTTCCCTTGCTGCTCTTGCATTGTGTCTTGTCCTTCAGCTGGGCACCTCCAGAACGAGTCTGGGAGAGACCCAGGTCCCTGTGTGAAACTCAAGCCACCCCCCATGTTTTACTGCTGCTAATCTCCTGCAATCATTTATTAGTGCCCTTATCCTCCAGTTTATGACTGTAATTAACTCGAGGTGTGCTTGCAGGGGGCTGTTTTAAACCACCACCTTCAGCCTGCATGACGAATGGATCACTCATCCGTGGTGCACCCACCTGCATAGCCCTTTAGGAGCAATAGCGGTGGCGCGTGCCTGCCCCTTGGCTTTGGCAGTGCCTCCCTGGGCAGGTTTCAACGTGGTGTGTGGTGGTGGGACCAGTTCTGCTGTGGCACCTCAGCAGAGAGAGCATCTCCCATGACCCCAGGCTTGAGAGTGGCTGTCCCTGGTGAGCTGCCACCATGAGCAGAGGGAGCAGGTCCTGCTGTGCTGGCGTGTGCTCACACAGCTACAAGGTTGCCTTGGCTACCGGCTTGTCTGTAACCAGAGGAAAGCTCAGAACAGGGCTATCTTCTGGCCTTTTCCCTTCTCCCCACGGAGGTTTCACCGTTCCTTCCTTGAGGAATGTGGGGCTCTGGCTCCTGCGAGCTTTGGGGCATGGGCTCTGCATTCCACCCAAACACTGATGGTGCCACGGTCTCTCCCAAGCCTGCTTGGTGCCTGGCTTCTGACCAGGCTCACTCAAAGCCAAGCTCCTTATTTTTAGTGACCATGTTGAGTATTGGCTGTTCCCGAGAATGCTGTGGGGTGCAGATATGGAGTTGGCTGTCATTAGTGGAGTCTCACCCCACTAACACACCCTCTTCCTGGCCAGACCCACGCGTCTCAGCAAAGGCTGAACACCTCTGGGAGTTGGGGGAATGATTCCAATGAGGTCTTGGGCCTGTATGTCCTTCAAAGTGCTTTTTCCAAGATAGGGACGTGTGGCCAGAGCTCCTGCTGGGGTTCTGAATATGACCAGGTTTATTTTCCAGCCTCTATGTTCTGCAGAAGGGGAAGGTGCAGCACGCTTGGCTTCATTCTCCACCCTTTCCTGCTGGGTTTCTTTGCCCTGTCTATCACGTGTGGGTAGGGTAGCACAGCTCTTGGGTTCGTGCTTTATTTCCCAGGGTTGGGAGAGTTTGGAAACATGAATCTCTTCACCCTACCACCCCCCCAGAGAAGATTTGAGTAGTGCCTGCTGGAGCAGGGGTTGGTGTCCAGGAGGCTCTGGGAGCTGCTCCTAGACTATAGTCTGATGTGTGTCCTCTTTTGTGCACTCCTTTAAGCTTCCACTGCATAGCCTTCCCTGGGGGTTTCCTCACCTTTGTGCTGAAGGTTGAGATCAGCTCATGTGCTCCTGATTGCCTGTGTTTGAAGGAAGGCCCTGCTGAAAACCCAGTGCCTGCTCTGGGGTGAAGGAGGGGGTGCCATGTGTTAAAACCGTGTATTCCTGTGCCTCCCATCACTAGCTGGGCTGGGAGGATGGTGTTGGACTGGGAGCAGGGAAAAGGGCCAGGATGGGGTTGATGTCTGTGCTCTGTGTCCTTTGCAGAGAATGGACCTGTCCCCGTCACAAAGAACCCACCCCAGGCCTTGCCCTGCACTCAGCTCCTCGTCTTTGTGGCCACACCGGACTGTGATGAGTTTCCCAACCTGAACTCCAAGGAGAGCTGTGAGTATGGAGCTGGGGAGCAGGAGGGAGCGCGGCTGTTCCTGTGCCTGTCAGCTGGAAGTAGCACTGTGCAGCTCTTGCCCTCACTTGCAGGGAGGCAGCAATGCAGCAATCCTTGCTGGTTACTGAGAAACCGGGGCAGGGAGGGAGGCACTTCCCTAAGGGTGCTGATAAAGCAGTGAGAGAGGGTTAAAACAAAGAAGAAACCCCCAAATCTGTTCTCCGGGATCTAAGGTGCAGTCCTAGAATAGAATCACAGAATCAACCAGGCTGGAAAAGACCTTTAAGCTCATCAAGTCCAACCATTCCC